GATTACATTCTCTTGTGGAAGCTGCACAGTATTGGCCTGTGTGTCCAGTAATGCCCTCAAGAAGACCATTTGCTGCATGGGGCACAACTGGCCAGCTAAAGTGTTGAAGTTTTGAAAACAGCAACCCCCAATGCTGCACCAACAACTCTCAACTTTCTGCCAGAAGAAGGATGTCGTTCAGGTAGCGGAACTTTTGTAAATGTCCTGGAGTGGGTAGACAGACTGAAAGGTAAACTCCAGAATTGACAGTGGTGATGGTGGACTGCAAACCGCAGGAACTTTTGAAAAGCAGGATGGGAACATGTAAATAAGCTGTCGCCAAGTCTATGGACAGCATCCAGTCACCTGTGCTTATTAATAGGACAATTGACTACAACTTTTTTAAGTCCAGTACTGGCCGTAAATTTCATGTTATTTTTCTGACTAGGAATAGGGGTGAATAGAGACCCCTCTCTGAGAGGTCGGATGATGTCCAGCCAGGAATGATGCCAGGTCTACAATCTTCTCCTGTAATTGTATACACCTGCTTCAAGTCAAGGTCAATCCTGTAGTCCAGGGTGTCCTTGAAAGTAACCGCATCTTCCATAGGTAATGTCACGTGTCTAGCAAAACGCATTAGTGACGTGCATACAATGGGAGCAGATAGCAGAGGGTTAATTTAAGGCTCTTTTAGAGGGCAAAGCTTAAATAGAGTATTGTTAAGGCATGTCTTTTTTTCAGGAATTTGCCAGTCATCCTGAATAAGTTCTTCTCCCAGCTCTTTAATGTACAGAAAAGATTCAGGCTCTTTTTTAAGATTTATAAAGGATTTCCTCCCTTTACTAGGGGCTTATTGAACTTCCTCCCATCTCCTCTATCACTGATCTAGAGAATGGTTCAACCAGGGCGAAGTCAAAGCCAGTGCCTCCTCGAGGTTCCTCATTGTCTGATAAAGTATCAGATTCAATCTGAGGTGGATGACTTCCGCTAGGGGTTCTAGGCGCTATCTTCCCTGAGGAGCTGACATCTCCAGGACTGATTCTCTAACAGATTCCTTTATGAGCGGTGTGAATTCTCTCATGTCCACCTCTTTCTCCCTTGTTACCTCCTCTTTACATGACTGGCATGCAAGCTTGTCTGACAAGGCTGCAGTGCCACATACCCAGCAGGTATGTGGCACTGCGAGACGAGGCAGACAATGAGGAAGACCTTCGCTGGTGGGAATGGTGGTGATGTGAAGAGGACTTAGAACAGCTTCACCCCAATTGTCTGCGCCTGGATGGAGACCCATGACTGGAGCGAACTCTCCTTGACATGGAGGATCTTGTGGTCTTATGAAGGATGACAGTTTATGCAGCTTTAGGACCAGAGCTCTCTTTTTTCAAATTGTAACTACTAATTCTAATTCTACTAATTCTAATTCCAACAAACTCTTACCTTATGGGCATAGGCTGGTCTACTGGACAGGCTGAACAGGCGTGACTTCCACCCAGGAGAGGCTGAACCTGGCTGGGGTGAATTTGGTAAGGGATTTTTCCAAGAGCAATCCAATCCATTAGGTGAGTACAAAAAAGAAAATGCCAATGGGCTGGATCCTGCAAAACTTTATAGCTTAACAGTCCTATCAGGTTGATGGGATGAGTCACAACCCAATGTATGCTGCCATGATGTGCCAGGAAACTTAATTTGTGTGCCATGCCCATATCACTGTGAGATCTCAGCACCACTAGTGTAAGTACGTAGCACAGCTCAGTAAAGTAAGCTATCACTGATAGGGCTTGTTTAGACATGTTTTGGAATCAGAAGCAAGTCAATGCAGATTTCTTTCAGGAACTCCTAAAATGCTTTGATTCCAATTTGAGATTTGATTTGCATTTCCTGTTAGGCTCATGGAGTTGCTTTAAGATGTTTCTGAGGTGAATCAAGCTGTTTCCAAGTTGCCTTGAGTTCAGGGGGCTTTAGACTCAGCTGCTTCTGTTTTGCTTTGAATTGCTTTTGAGTTACATAGTTAGTCAGGCTCAAAGATTACACAAGTCCATCTAGTTCTATTAACCAAAAAGAAACAAATAGACAACCCCCATATACAGTATACAATCCTATACACAGAGCTGATCCAGAGGAAGGCAAAAAAACAATAAAGCAAGATCCAATTTGTTGCAGCAGGGGAAAAATAATTTTCTGACCTCCCAAGAAGCAATACGAGATTCCCTGGATTAATAATTACCTATAAGATTACGGACTAAGGTTTAAGATTACCTATAAATGTTAATATCCAGTTATATTGTATGCATTTAGCAATGCATCAGCCCTTTCTAAAACAATCTACTAAGCTGAAAAGGACTGAAATTGCACTGGATTGCATCAAAAGTAGTACATGCACTGCTTTTAGGAATGCACTGTAATCGATTGCATGGTACTAAGCAATTTAGTGCAGGCAAACACACTGCATTTGCGATTTGAGTTTGGGTTGTCATTCAGATTGCATTGAAACCAGCAGCTCATTACAAGGGACAAGGGTGCCTTTTTTGGATGTGGAGAAAAGGAGATTTAGCCTCTACATACAGTTACATAGTTAGTCTGGCTGAAAAAAGACAAAGGTCCATCCAGTTCAACCAAAAAATGTTATAATCCTATACCCACTATTGATCCAGAAGAAGGCAAAAAAAAACCAGCAAAGCATGATCCAATTTGCTCCTGCAGGGGAAAAAATTCTTTCCTGAACCCCCGAGAGGCAATCAGATATTCCCTGGATCAACTTTACCAATAAATGTTAGTATCCAGTTATATTATGTGTTTCTAGGAAATAATTCAGGCCTTTTTAAAGCAATCCACTGAACTGGCCAGAACCAACTATTGAGGGGGTCTATTCCACATTTTCACAGCTTTTACTGTGAAGATACCTTTCTGTATTTGGTGATTACATTTATTTACGTCCAGACGTAAAGAGTGCCCCCTTGTCCTCTGTGATGACCTAAGGGTGAAAAGGCTTCTTCACAGTAAGGCCCATTTCACACAGGGCAAAATCTGTTCTGATTATCAGGTGATCTGTGAGCTGATTCCCTGCTGATTGGAACAGAGCGAGCGGATGACACATTCATGTTCACTCAGTGTCTGCAGAGCAGACATGAACAAAGCCCACTTTGCTCTATTGGTGGCCAGGAGTAAATGGACTCTGCTGTCTGTTTACACCCAGCTACCTCCGATCATAAATGGAAGAGAATGGAGGTAGGCAGGTATAAACAGACACACGTCTTTTTACACCCACCTGTCCATAGGAATGCAATAGCCATGTGAAAGGGGTCTAAGGGCCGTTCACACCCAGCACTGAGAATGTTAATCCTTTTTATTTCTCCTAGTGACCATTGGGATTGGGACTGAAAGTGATGGAAAATTTTAAATTGTATGGATGTCACCTATACAGGAATAGAGGGGAAATCTTCCAAAGGGGGCAACTGTTTTAAAATTATTATTATTATTATTATTATACAGGATTTATATAGCGCCAACAGTTTGCGCAGCACTTTACAAAATGAAGGTAGACATTATAGTTACAATACAATTTGGTACAAGAGGAAACAGAGATGTCTTCTCACCTAGGAGAGATTTCCTCTTGTCAATGAAACAAAGCTAAAGCCAGAAAAAAGTTTTCACTTAAAGTGGTTGTAAACCCTTACATTTACACAGTGAAGTGCCTAGCTTCAGAAGATACAGGTGCAGCAGGGCTACTGCAAGAATCAGCTTCCTTCTCATGAGCCATTGCTGAACCTGTCCTGCATACCAAAGAGGAGGAGCTTTGTAGCTCTTTTCTCAGACCCTAAGCCAGCAGTCATAGCAATCTTTCACTTAGAGGGGAAAATTGATAAATATGTCAAGTGAAAGACCACAATGTGCACTGCTGGTGATGCTTACCAGGCCATGACTAGCAGAAGAATGACAGATCAGAGGGATCTCCAACACCATCAAGAAATGCTGCAACTGGGCACCTTCGAAGAACATTATTATTATTATTATACAGGATTTATATAGCGCCAACAGTTTGCTCAGCGCTTTACAATATAAAGGGAGACAATACAGCAACAATACAGTTCAATACAAGAGGGAAAGGAGGGCCCTGCTCCTTGGAACTTACAATCTAGGAGGGAGGGACATCCTTTTAGACTCTACCTATGATAGTGGGGGGAGATATGCCATTTCAGCTTTATAGCCTAGATTGAAGGCCAACCAATAAAAATCTATTTTTTTGATGGTACATATTGAATGTGAGGGTTTTTATGTAAGCATTGCAGCATGAAGAACCTTATAAGCCACAAATTGCTTAATGCTGAGGACCCATAGTCCTCTTGTTACTGAGCACAGACTAGTCCAGGGGTGTCAAACTGGTGGCCCTCCAGCTGTTGCAAAACTACAAGAATACACAATAAAAAAAATTAAAAAAATCTAATTTCGTCATAAATTTAGGCCAAAATGTATTCTGCTACATGTCTTGTAGCCTCCCTAGTGGTCTGATTATGTCAGTATTTCTGTGCTCAAACCGGACATTTTTTTGCATGGAAATATGTAGTTTTTTTTTATTGTAGGCCTGTCGTTTTTAGGAATAACTCACTGAAATCTGTCCAAACAAGAGTCTAGTAAACATCCCAGATATGTTAAAATTTGAAACACGAAATCATAAATTATAATTTAATAAATAATCATAAAAAATAATAATATAATAATAATAAATTTAATTCAATAATATAATCAAACCAAAAACACTGAAATTTGAAATATAGCGCTAAGTTCGCATATCACTGAGCAAAGTCGCAAAATCGTTTTCAGTGTCTGATAACGAATGTCCCCACGAATCATTGTCATTCAATTCTGCAAGTGGTTCTAATTTACTATCGTTGTTCTCTAGCTGGTCTAAAACCGCTTTTGACCTAAAGGGACGCTTTTTGGACGCCATGGACATTTCTCAGTTTCCAGGCAGAAAGAACAAGTAAAAATGCAGGCAGGGCACAGGACAAAGCACTCGGGACAAAATGCATGTGAAATGGTTTGGTACAGTAATGTTTTACTATGTGATTTTAGTGTATTTAGTGAATGTCACTTTTTCACATTTTTACATTTCCCGCCGTTCCGTCCCCGTATGTCCTGACGTCGCAGGGAACGGAACCCAGAAGACGGATGCCGGCATCCGCCGGAGGACATTGCAGGGGACACTGCAGGAGGGACATCGTGGGAGAGCAGGACAAGGTAAGCGAAGAAGAGATCCCGGAGCAACGCTGCAGGGTATTCCCAAGTGTAGCTCTGGGTTACCGCTTGTGGTGCTGAAATTTTACCCCGAGCTACACTCGGGAATACAGCCAGGGAGGTTAAATCCCAATACATGTAAATTAATAATTTTTTTTTTTATACTAGTAATGGCAGAGATCAGTGATTTATAGCGGGACTGCGGTGCAGAGAAATACACAGCAGCATGTTCTTGCTGGCAGGAGAGAGACCTGTGGAGACTGACATCTGTAGCCGCCATAACGGCGCGGGTAAGGTGGCGCGCTTGCGCCCCCTACCCGGGAATGCAAATCACATATATATATATATATTTATATATATATATATATATATATATATACACATGATTTTGCGCAGCCCTGCCACCCTGTAGCAGTAGTTCTACTATAGGGCGGTGGGGAAGCGGTTAATAAATGTACCTGTTCCAACTGACATACAATATCAACTTAAGAACAAACCAACATAACCTATCATTTTCATAACCTGTAGACTGCTTGTAATGGGCAAGGTTTGCAATTGCTAAAAGTCCCCACAAAGCCTGTAAACCTTACTTCTTTACCTCACCCTTTGCCCCCAATCCCTCCCCATCTTCTTCTGCAGCTTTCTGATGCTGCTGCATCCCAGGGATGGAACCGGTGGACATATAGGGAGCTTGTCCTAATTGTTGCCCCTCCATTTCCTGCCAACTGCCAATCTGCCCAAAGAAAGTAAAATTGATGATACACTGGTAAAATCTTGTCCAGTTCCTCTGATTCTATGGTCCCTTGGTCCCTTTCACACTGATCCATGGTTGTTTCTCTACAGTGCGTGTGCGTCACACTGTACTCACGGTTTTTGTGCGGGTTGCATGCAGGACTTTTGGTGCACTTTTAGAAAATGCACCAAAATTGCCAGATCTAATAGAAGCAGGGCTACTGCAAGACTCAGCTTCCTTCTCATGAGCCAGGGCTGAACCTGTCCTGCATACCTGTCCATGGTCAAGCACGGGTAACCCGCACGAAAAAAGTGGGTACACTGCACTGCACCTGTGCTGTGGAGAGACTGCAGCAGATCAATATGAGAAGGGCCTAACAGTTGGTGGGCCCTACAGGTTCAACAAAAGTCAATTACCTAACTTATGTCAAAGGAATTGCCAACCGAACAGTGCCAGCAGCAAATAGGCTGCCATGGCTGTTTGTGTATTCTGACAGCCAGCGAAAGGGGCTGTGAGAACACAATACACTGGCAGGGGTGATTCATCCATTTAGCAGTGTGTGTGGATGGAGGAATCTGTTAGATTTTTTTTTAATCAGCAAGAAATATATTAATGTATGTCAACCTTTAACCTCTCGAAAGTGGAGAAACCCTATCATACACTGTTGTCACCAGAGCAATTGTCCCCATTGGGAGAATACCACTATTCTTGTTCCAGGGAAAAATTCTTACATTTTATTAATCAGTCTCACTAATTTGTAATTTAAAGAAATAAAACTTGCCTTTTTTTTTTAAAACCAAGATTTAAATTGTAAGTCAATGAAACATGCTAACAAAGCTTCTGATTCGTGTCCCCTGTATGTAAAACACATCTCTCCTGTTATGCAAACAGCGGGAGGCAACTAGTTACAGTTAGATGGAGAAGCCGTGACATTTTGCAGGTTACTTCCCTAGTCACTCTGTCATGCACAAGCTTTCCCCTGTTTGAATTTTGTTGTGTTTATTTAAAAACCGGTTTGTGGATGGAAAGTGGATCAGCAGAGTTCCTGTGTCTGTACTTAATCTCTGCTTTTAGTGGCATTAATCATCTATTTCTGACGTTAACAGGGGTTGCAAAAGTTTGCTGTATCTGGAGCTGAGTTCTTGTCTCACCAACTCCATCTAGTGGGGCCTTCTGCAATGTCTTACAACAATCTATAACAAAACGAAACATTTTTGGCCTGGTTTCACAATGTTCCTTTAACGGAGGAAAAAATAAATCTAGTTTTGATTCCATTTTGATCCCAAAATATGATATTAAACCCTGCTTATTCAATAGCATATATTCCTTTTCTAAATTGGACAGGCTCATTTACATTCTGATTGTTAGCTTTCTCTGCAATGGGGGTAGCAGAGCTGGCAGCCAATTACTTTTTTAGGCTAGAGTCACACTAGCCCATGCTGCTCCAACGTAGATCGCTTTTCAGAGTGCATCTAAACAGCTGCTGTCAGAGTGATCCTGCCACCTCCTAAATACCTGTTTGATTTTTTTTTGGGACAAATGGAAATTTAAAATGGGGCTAAAGCACCATAAACACAAGCCACCTGAATGGCTGAGTTTGACTGTCAACCCGACATGGAATGTTAACACAACTATGGCTGCCACACAAAGCATTGGAATGTGAACAGCCTCTTCTAGCTGCAATTTAGACTATACTGTAGTTGGAGGGCCTTATGAACCAGTAAAAGGGGTACCCAGTACCAGTTTATTTAACCACTTGATGAGCAGGCTATAGCTGAATGATGGCCACAGTGTGGTTGTCTAGCTCTGGGAGGGCATCATATGATGTCCTCCTGAACCACACTGTCTGCACGCCCCCTGGGACATGCACCTGGTGAGCAATATGATAACTGTGTCTGTCGGACATACCTGATCACATGACTTGGTAAGGGGCCAATCACAGCACCCTTTTACCACGTGATGAGCTGTGTGCAATGACACAGCTGATCAAAATATAAATACCGTTGCCAGTTATCGGCTGCACTTTCCTCACATTGTCACAGCATGAGGAAAGAGAAGAGCCAGTAATCGGCAAATGTATTTAAAAAATCAGGGGCAGTCAGCATCCAGCCCCAACCGTGTCCATCACTGCAGTCCCAACAGTGTCCATCAGTGCTGCCAGTGTCCATCAGTGCCACCAGCCAGTGTCAGTGCCACCAGTTAGGGCCCATCATTGCTGCCTGTCCTTCAGTGCCTCCTATCAGTGCCTATCAGTACTGCCTTTCAGTGCCCATCAGTGGCACCTATCAGTGCAGCCTTATCAGTGCCACCTCATTAGTACCCATCAGTGCACCCTATCAGTGCCCATCAGTGCTGCATATCAGTGTCCATCAGTGCAGCCTCATCATCGCACATCAGTGAAGGAAACAAATTAACTGTTTGCAAAATTTTATAACAGAAACTAAGAAATGTTTTTTTTTTTAATTTTTGGTCTTTTTGTGTTTACCAAAAAATAAAAACCCCAGTGGTGATTAAATACCACCAAAAGAAAGCTCTATAAATCTAACAAAAATGATAAAAATTTCATATGGATACAATGTTGCATGACCCCGCAATAGTCATTCAAACTGCAACAGTACTGAAAGCTGAAAATTGGCATGGGCAGGATGGGGTTGAAAGTGCCCATTTAGGCAGGTGGTTAAAGGGTAATTTATTGAGGAAACCTAAATAAATCTATTCAAAAGAGCATTCTCTCTGCCTTCCATAGCTCAACTGCTGTGCAGCAACCAAGTTCCTTGGATTGTTAACCACTTCTTTTACTTTGAATTCTGCCTACAGTCCAACCACATATTGAAATCCAAGCAAAAAAGGAAAACCCACCAAACAAAAGTGCTACAAAAGTAATTATGAAAGATATGGCTCACATAAATAAACTGCTGCCTTTATCTTTGAGAAAGCCAAACATTAAGGTGATATTAAACCCTCCGTTTTTAAAGCACTTTCAGTAGCTGATTTAATTCCTTACTTAGTATGCAGCTTCTTTATCTTTTCATCTTTGCCTATGTTCCAGTTTAATCAAGTGCCATGACCACAACCCCAGGTTTCTCATTTCAGGATGTTTTCTTTCTTTTGCAGCATCCTATGAAGTCAGGGACTAGAGCTGTGTCTCCCTACATAGTAGATTATTTACTAAAATTGGAGGGTGCAAAATCTGGTGCAGCTCTTCATGAAAATCAGCTTCCAGGTTTTATTGTCATAGCTTAATTTAACAAGCTGAAGGTAGAAGCTGATTGGCTACCGTGCACAACTGCACCAGATTCTGAGTGCTCCAGTTTTAGTAAATCTCACCCATTGTGTGCATCAATAGAAACACACAGCCCTGTAGTCTAGCAAGGTAAGGCTCTTCCCCCTTCTCCTGTCCCCTCCCTTCTCAAGCCAAACAGACTGTCAGGAGACTGCAATGTCCTCTGTTAACTCTTTCTTGTGGAGACTGGAAATTCAGGAAAGAAGCATTGGGAAAGCAGGAGCCAGCAGCTTTGAAAGTTGTAAGCAGCCATTAGCACAAGGGACACTTTGCATTAATAGTAATAAATTAATAGTTCCTTGTGCTAAATTAAGAAAAAAATGTTTGCTTAAACTCAGGCTTTAAAGTGGAAGATAAGGATAACTCTAACCACCTACCCTGTATAAAGATCTGTGTATCTACCAGTTCAGTTGTGTAATCCAGCAGCTCTGGCTCTCCTGTGTCAGTGAGCAGCTGCTGCAGGGGAGAGGAGGGAGTGTAGAAAACAGATGGGCCATGGGAGAATATGAGTCATGTCACATCTGCAGGAATTCACAGCCCTTGTCAACTGCTCCCCTTTTACAGGGGAGCCGATGATTTTGAATCACGTACCTGGACTGGATTAAAAAAAAAGGTGAGTAAACAGATCTTTTTTATACAGGCTATGCTGGATAGGTACGAGGGGGGGTAGGGGGGTGGATATTTTTAAAAATAGATAGATTTAGCCTTTACTACCACTTTTAGTTTTAGGATCACCTTAGCGATTGTCCCATCAGCTGATGGACCAGATTTTGCCTTGCCCATCCCTTTTGCCATACTATGACACTAGAGAATGGAACCAAGTGCTGTATATTCTGACTATCCCTCTCATTAAGGCCTCTTTCACACGGCCTTACAGATGCAGCAAAATAACAAATGTTAATTACATCAGCTATAATGATTACCCTGCATTTGAGACATGTTTCACATGCATTAAACTGTGTTAATGTTACCCAAACACTACCCCTGGTGTTCAGTTTTTTTTACAAAAGGGTAGTGAATACTGTAAATGCTTCACAAAATGTTCACTGAATGCATCAGCAATCCACCTATAGTGTTCGTTATGCATTTAGAAAGCAGTTTTTAATTTT